CATACAAATATAATATATAGTATATATATAAATAAAATAGGAATATAATATAAATAATACAATAAAAAATATAATATAATTATAAATACAAATAAATTGTAAGCATATAAAATATTATACTATAACTATAATATATATATAGTATAAATATAAATACAAAATACAATAATATAAATATGAATATGAATATATAAATAAAATATGAATATAAATATAATATAAATATGAATAGAATATAAATATTATATATATATACTATAATATAAATAGAACAAGAATATAATATAAATTTATTAAAATAATTTATAATATATAGTATAAATATAAATATAATACGAATGTATTAAAATATTTTATAAATATTGTATAATGTATAGTATAAATATTATGTAAATAATATATATACAGTAAATTATGAATATCAATAAATATTATATAATGTAAATAGTATAAATATTATATAATTATATATATTATATATATTATATAAATATTATAAATATTGCATATTATATTATAAATATAAATAATATAATAATATAATTCTTTTTAATTAAGAAAAATATTATTATTAAATTTTATTGAAATTATTATAGAATTATTATTAATTTTTTAAAATTTATTATTAAAATATAATACCTTTTTAATAGTGTATATGATTATAAATATTATAAATAGATAATTATATTATATAAATATTATAAATATCATAAATATTATATATAAAATATTATAAATATATAATTGTATGTATTATATAAATATTTCAAAATGATATATTATAAATATTATAGGTTATAAATATATATTATACTATAAATATTATGTAAATAATATATATATTAAAATATGAATATCAATAAATATTATATAATATAAATATTATACGAGGTCTCATAAAAATATTTGGAGTTGTGCTATAAAAAAAAAACACATATTAATTCGACATTTAATCTCCTTCGAAGTAGCCTCTTTCTGAAGCTACAAATTTTATTCAGCGGCCTTTCCATTGATGAAAGCATTCCTGGAACTACTTAGTTGGGATAGTATGAAGTAGGGTGGAAGAAGTAGTCTCATGCCTTTCACAAGAGTATCGGTGCATAAGTGAATATAATGAACCCAACTGGAATTGGAACTCGACTCTCCGATTATCAATTCCGAGCCATTATATATTACACCACCCGCACATCCATGCTTACAGCACCTGGTAATCCCAAGTTGTCACTCATCTAGATACTGACGTTGCTTAACTTCGGTGATCTTACGAGGTTAGGTGTATTAACGTCATGCAGCCATAAGCCTGCGTACCACCGATTCAGGTCTAGTCAGAGATGAAGAAGAGACTCGAGGTAACAGAGATATAGTTCTACAAAAGAATGATAAGGATATCATGGACTGAGCGTGCGAGCAACGATAAGGTTCTGGAGAGGATGCAAACAAGGAGGAAGCTTATGCTTAACATCAGGAAGAGACAGCTGAAATTTCTAGGACCCGTAACGAGAAAGGAGGGCTTAGAGAATCTGATACTCACAGGTCGAATAGAGACACGTGAAAGCAACGCATGATATACCTGGCGGGCTTAGTCAAGTGGATGACAGAAGATGACCTAGAGGAAGAAGCAAAGGGGCAAAACTTATTGAGAGCTACAAGGGATAGGGGAAAGTGGAGAGCCATGAACGCCTACGCCCTGAAGGGACACGTCACATAAAAATAAAAGAAGTTGTAGCATGAAGTGTTCGTTCTTTAACAAACGTTTGGACTCGATTGAAACTAAATGCACTGAAATTTTTATTTAAACGAACTCAATAGCCGAGTACGAAGGCTAAAAATATTATTTCATGTAACAATTCTTTAATTCAAACGAAATCATAATAATAAAAATGTTAAGAAAAAAATATTATCTTAAAAAGATATCTCGCAAATGTTAATGTAAAAATTATGTATATATATATAAAAAAAAACAGATATTACTGCAGCTTTCTAGATTGGCGCTAAAATGGATCTGGCGCCAAAAAGACCACCCGCAAAATTGCCGCAAACAAAATGGCTGAATCAAACACTATCAAAACTAGTTACGAATATAATTTGTCACCAAATTCTGTCTTTTATAAAGTTCACACAATAGAAGACTAGATAGCCATTCACAGTAGAGATATATTAAAATGGTTATGATGAATGAAGTGTTTGATATAGTTATATTGATAGCAATAGATGAGATGGTATGAAAATGACGAGGATAAGCAGGATAGATGGCGATTTTCACTTGATATGAAGATGTTAAAAGTGTTCAAAGGAATCGCTCTCCCGGAGAAAAGATTGTGAGTGGAACTTTCTCTTTACTTTTCGGATACAGAGGAAATAAAGATGATTCAACTTCGTGGAGGTTACATGGCGTTTCTTAGCTGTCAAGGTCTGAACTGATGGGACGAAGGCTTACGGCCAAATCAGGTTCAAACAACAATCCCCGTACGATCCCCGAAGTTAAGTAACATCGAGCCTTGTCAGTATCTAGATGGGTGACTGCTTCGGAATACCAAGTGCTTTAAATAACCTGCAAAACGACTGATAAGCCGTAGAAATCAATCAATCAAAACCAAATACCGATATTAACATCATTGTATCCAATGATCATATAAGACTTTAACCAAAAATCTTGGCAGAGAAACCTTCTAAGCTGAATGATCCAAATCACCCCAGAAAAAAGTCATGTGCTTATTAATCATTAATATTTACTCAGTGTAATAAGACGCCTATTGGCATGGGGATTTTCTGAGCGTAGATGTGGCACAAGGTCGAAAGTATGGGGCACCCAATGAGGATCAAACTCATTATTCAGTTGTAATTGAACCCACTTGGTATGGATCGTCATTAGCACTCACGTGTGAGACAAGCTTAAGGTTAAGTTTGGTACAAGATAAAGTACGAGAATTGGGGGCTAGAATTAAAAAAAATGTTGTTGCATTAACTCAAACAAGCTGCTACATTTAACTACAAAATCAGAATTTGTACGGTAGGCTCCTTAATTATTGCATGTGGTTTATCCCAGTTTTGACTGTGCTGTGGGGGACCTCAAGAGAATTGAATTTGCAACACTAGTACATGGTCTACAAGCTGAATTCATTACATACGCAGTAACCTTAATATTCTATGATGATTCATTTTTCTTAACAAAACAGCAAGGTGTTAGAACCATCCAAGTTATAGAGCGTCAGTCGGGATGCTAATGATGAAGAAAGTATATGACTTGAGAGAAAGAGGAAGTGGTAAGAAATGAAGATTCTGATGTTATTTAGGAAAGATAACCATTGATCTTGACTTGAAGAGGTCAAAATTGTAGGATTCATGGAGGCTACAACGCAGTGATTCTGTTCTCTAAAGGGTCATTTCTTGGGAACAAAAAAAAACCCTGCTTCAGTGGAACTTTATTCTTGCATCTGGAACATAGAGGTTGTTTCAGCAAGAGTCTTTTAGATGTACTGGTAGAACTAAAGAATGAAGCTCATCGGAACATTTGCTATGGAAATAGCGGTAAAGTAGCCATCGGCTTGTAAAGTGGCGCCCGTGGAAAAGAGGCTGTAAAGAGGGAAAATAACTCATTCCCTACAAGACCGCGTAAACGGTGTTGAACTCTACCAAGGCGAGAGAGGGAAGATTATGGAGCTTCAACCCAGATACAGCAGCGATCCTACATGTTTTTGTGTCATATAGAAATAAAGCATGTCAGGAGATGTCTGATACTCCTTGGAGTGATAGAACGAGCTGAGCATTTTTCCTGCATATTTAACAATGGATTATATATATATGCGTTCCACTTAAGGTCGATTTATTAATTAATCTATGCTACAACACTTTAAAAAAAAAAAAAAATTGAACCCTATCTTATGGAGAAAACCGGGTACCCCAAGCGACCAATAGCAACTTCTCTTAAAAATCGCCGCAGTCTTCTTCCATGTACCGTTTCCCTTCAGGACGTAGACAACCATAACTTTCCTGAACATCTTGCCCTTTGTCTTTCTGCTCTCTCTCTCTGCTCTCTCTCTCTCTGCTCTTTCTCTCTCTCTCTCTCCCGTAATCCATGTTCTGCTTACCATTTACACAAGCTCGTTAGGTCAGTAATTCGATACTTGCCTCAATATGCCTTGTGAGCATCAAATTCTCCAATCCCTCTTTCCACATTATGCGCCCTAGAAAGTTCAAGTCTCTTTCTGATTCGAAATATATGTGTCCCTCTTGCTTCCATTTTCCTTCAAAATTCCTCGTTACTGACATGTTTAGTCTAAAACATTCTCAGAAGTCTACTGTAGAACAACATTTCTATTGCTTGAAGTCTGCCCAGCATTTATTGCCATATAGGAGAGCCGATATCACATGATAGTACAGTACTAGTTTCTTTGTTTCGAACGAGATTTTCCTGGTTCTTAATACTTTGCTTAGATTTTGGAAGGCATCTTTCGCTATTCCAATTAACCCTCGGATTTTGACATCACATTTTTCCGTCATCATTTAAAAACATCTCTTGAATTTTTGCACTTGGTTGATTTTGGTGTATCCAACTGACAGTTCACATCTTTGGCGACTCCTTTTGCTGACAACCGAAGATTCCGTCTTCTTGCAACTGATCGAATCAAATTGACGGATAGTGTTGCGAGCTAACCGCTTTCTTCTTCTTGTCCTTCTTCTTCAACTCATGACATGATCTCTCAGTGTAGAACGTTTTATTAGTTACCACCCTTCGCATGAGCACCAAGAAAACACATCTCCTCGCATTTAGAAAGCTAAATGCAAAACAAATAACACGGAGGTCTGTTGGCAAGGCACCACAGAGAAGTTGGTGAGGGACCCCTACCTTGTCGAGTGCGAGTTATGCGCCGAATTAGAAGTGGGAACGCGTTGACCTCGACACATGCAGAGCCAACAACGGGCATTATCATAGGTCGCTTGGCATCTCTCGCATCTTACGCGTCGAGGCTGTGCATTGTATAGAGGAATATTTCGTTACTTCAAGAGTTGGTGAACAAGAAAGGAAAGGCAGAGGGGAAAGAGTCACTCAGTGCAAGTTTACGTTTGCGAACGGCACAGACGATTAGTACAATTACTCGAACTTCTGCTACAATTGTATTGCGATGACACTTGCTGATGCTGTTGGTGTTGATAGTAGTCTTAAAAGAAGAATAAAAAAAGAACATGATAATGATTCTGATAGCCAACAGGGTCCGTCAAAATTTCAATGGCACAAACATATTTGTATATTATAAAAATAAATGGCGTCTCTCTTAAAGAAAATTTAATTTTTAATATAAAAAGAATTAGCGCTTATTTTATCAAATTAAAAAAAAAAAGTTTTGTTTTTTTTAGCGGAATATCAACATCTCTATGGGTTATTTAATGCCAAAATCTAAATATTTTGAAGATAATTTTATGTATCCAACTAAATATTTTGAACGTAATTGTATGCAGTGGTGATTCTGGAACTCTGAAAGTGGACGGGGGATTGCACTTGGGGGCCGGGATTTTTCTGCGGAGGAGGTGGGGGTCAAATTCAAACAGTGTCTTTATTTTCATATTCCGTCACTATCGTCACTTATCGTCACTTAGCAATGAGTTTTAGTATAAGTATATTACTTCACTAAATTAAACGGAATAACTTTTTATTTATAGGAGCGGAGTTCTAATCTATTCTTGCCCTTTTTTTCCATTCTGAAGCTGTTAGACCACAACATAGGTTAACTCCGATACAAAATCAAAGGGTTAATACTAACGTTAATAGTAGCAGAACAGTGTAATTTGTCTGCTCTGATTTTTTTCCCTCTACAAAACATAGAAGGGGGGGGCAACCGAGGGGGCCACCCAAAATGGGGGGCATTGGACCCTTTCTGCCTCACCGTAGAATTGCCACTGATTGTATGCGTTCAACTACAGATAAAATGTATTGCTGATTATGCATTCTCGGTTTATATATATATATATATATATATATATATATAAATGTATTGCAGGTATTTTTACTATTAAAATGTACTTTTATACTTTCACAGTGTTTTTGTTGGCGGGGGGCTCACTATTTGCCTATAGCTGGGACCCTAACAAGTGCTACCATCCAGGGCCAGGGTGGGCCTGGCAGCGAAAGTAATTATGTGCTGGTTCCACGCTGCTCCAAACCTCCAATCTGCTCGGCCCGGAGGCTAGGATCAAAGTGTAGTACGCTGCCTTTGTGAGCTTCCGAGTCGGCGTCTGTCGAACTCTCTGCATTAGCAGAGAGGAGCCCGGACGAAGCTTTGCCGAAGGGCAAGGTTTCGTTCGGGGAGGTAGACAGGGCCTGAATCTGTCAAGGCGGGTTCAAAAAGGCTATATTTTTGGCCGAGCCTACGGGATCAGTGATACCCACATTAAACCGGCCTTGTGCCACATTCTATCCTCGTGGGTGGATCGATAAATACTAACCTCCAATCAGAGACCTTGCTGCCGGATGAAAAAAATATGAATCTTTTTTCTATTATTTTTTATTTTTCATTTTATTTTGGGACAGTAAAGAAATATAAATAACTGGAAAGTGTTTTAAGTTTTGATATGACCAAAAAAAAAAGAAAAGAAAAAAAAATGCGCGAAAATGAGCAGAACGGTTGCGACAGTAGAGAAGTCAGAAGCTCTGCTGCTCGTCCGAGCCTAGGCCTTTGCGTGTCGTGTATTCAACAGGGAGACCAGCCACTACATGGAGGTGATAGGCAGACTGCTGACCTGTTGACATCCGTTCTCTTTAGCGCTCACTTGCTCTCACTTCCTCTCGATTCCTCCAAGAAACGATGCTTACTATCTTCTCCAGAATTTTTTCTTCTTTATGTGCTATAAATTCTCCAAAACTACCCGTCCTTTAGAGCTCTTAATAAATTTTCTGTTATTTTCGCCTTGTTCCGGCATCCATTTATTTAAGCTCAATATTTTATGCGTTGTTTTTTATGTTTCTCTAGTCCTCTGTCTCGTGAGTATTAGAGTTTCCAAGCCTTCCTTCCTCAGAAAACCAGAAAATTCAACTATCTCTTCCTGATGCTAAGCATTCATTTTCTTTTTGTTTCCATTTTCTCCAAAAATTCGCCGTTGTTCACATGTTCCGTTCATGCTATCCTCAGCATTCTTCTGTAGAACCACATTTCTGTTGTTTCAAGTCTCTTCTTCATATGTGAGGAGATTGTCCAGCATTTACTTCCATACAAGAGAAAAGATATCACGTAGCATGAGTAAGAAAGAAACCTAAAGAAAATTTTTCTATTGTTGATTTGATTCTCTGATAAAGCGTTGGTATCCCTACTGTGTAATCGCCGATAAACCATTATAATCCAGGAACAATACTCAACACAATAGAAATATTTACTTTTTTCGTGCCAAAACTGACTAAAACTAAGCGTGGAAATAACGCCTCTGTAAACCTGGTTCAAATACAGTTGGGGCTAAAATACAATCATCTTACTTATCATAAAACGCAGATTGTGTGTGTGTGTCTGTACGTTTATATATTGGATCGGATTTCCTACATTTTTCAACCGATTTCAACAAAACTTCACAGGACTACGTAAAATTACTTTGCGGTGGTTCTAACAGTATCAAAACTTGGAAAAACACAATTGTTTTTGCACGAAATCAATATGAAAACACGATTAAGAGGCACCACAAGAATGAAAGGGGGGCAACTCATATCGAGTTATACTTACTATAAAACCCAAGTTGTTTGTGTGTGTGTGTGTTCGTTTATATATGGGATCGGATTTCCTACATTTTTCAACCGATTTCAACAAAACTTCACTTTTTTTTTGGCAGGTAGTGTTTCTTATTGTCTTGCACACTTTTTTCTTTATTTTTACATACAGAATGCTTTAAAATTCCATTTACAAGACAATTGTTTATAATAAAATTCTATTCAATCGGTAGAATCATAACAATTGAAAACAATGTTTTGTTTGAGTTTGGGTTTGACCAATTCATAAAAAAAAGAAAAAAAGAAGTCTTTATGATGATCGATACTTGATCTATCTCTTACTGTTACATCCCCGGGCAACGCCGGGCTCTACTGCTAGTTATTATTATTATTTTTATTTTGGCAGCAACAGAAAACTAGACGAAAAAAAAAAAAGGCAAACCCTGCTGTTATAGTCAGAACTTGAACGACCCGAACTGAATTTAGGTGGGTCGAACCCAGTGGACGTGGAATCCTCCCAGAGTTGGATTATCTTTGCTTAACTTTTGATATGAGAGAAAAATGCGCGAAAACGAGCAGACTGTTGCAAGAGTAGAGAAGCCGGAAACTCTGCTGCTTGTCCGAGGAAGAGGAGGTTGAAATAAAGAGAGAGAATGAAATAAAGAGAGAGGTTGGAATAAAGAGAGAGGTTGAAATAAAGAGAGAGGTTGAAATAAAGAGAGGTTGAAATAAAGAGAGAGGTTGAAATAAAGAGTGAGGTTGGAATATAGAGAAAGATCGGAATAAAGAGAGAGGTTGGAATATAGAGAAAGATTGGAATAAAGAGAGAGGTTGGAATATAGAGAAAGATTGGAATAAAGAGAGAGGTTGGAATAAAAAGAGAGATTGGACTGAAAGGAGAGGTTGGAATAAAGAGAGAGATTGGAATGAAGAGAGAGGTTGGAATAAAGGGAGAGGTTAAAATAAAGAGAGAGGTTGGAATAAAGAGAAAGATTGGAATAAAGAGTGAGGTTGGAATATAGAGAGAGGTTAAAATAGAGGTTAGAATAAAGAGAGAGATTGGAATGAAGGGAGAGGTTGAAATAAAGAGACAGGTTGGAATAAAGAGAGAGGTTGGAATAAAGAGAGAGGTTGGAATATAGTGAGAGGTTGGAATAAAGAGAGGGGTTAAAATACAGAGAGAGGTTGGAATAAAGAGAAAGATTGGAATAAAGAGAGGGGTTGGCATATAGAGAGAGGTTACATATAGGTTGGAATAAAGAGTGAGTTTAAAATAAAGAGAGGGGTTAAAATAAAGATAGAGTTTGGAATAAAGAGAGAGGTTGGAATAAAGAGAGAGGTTTGAATAAAGAGAGAGATTGGGATGAAGAGAGAGGTTGGAATAAAGAGAGAGATTGGAATAAAGAGAGAGGTTGGAATGAAGGGAGAGGTTGAAATAAAGAGAGAGGTTGGAATAAAGAGAAATATTGGAATAAAGAAAGAGATTGGAATAAATGGACAGTTTGGAAAAAAAGTGGAAAATAAAATAAATGAAATAACAGCGGGTAGATCGAAAAAAAAAAATGAAAATTTAAATAGCCAGGCACGCCTATTCATTTTGAACGTGATAGTATGTGGGTGCGGTGGCTAGCAGTGTGATCATCATTTTGTGTCCAGCTTAATCATCGACGCCTCTGCGACCGAAGTGGTTAAAGTGACATCCATGAAAGATGTTCTCTTGTTGATGTGAACTGCGTGTTCGAGTTCGAAGTTAATTTGTTTCGGTTTCAAATCTCGTGTTGTTTTCTTTCTCCGTATTGTGGTAAAACGTGGAAAATGTCTGTATTGTGGTAAAACGATGAAAATATTTGTATTGTGGTAAAACGTGGAAAATGTCTGTATTGTGGTAAAACGTGGAAAATGTCTGTATTGTGGTAAAACGTGGAAAATGTCTGTATTGTGGTAAAACGTAACAATTACAATATGTAGTCAATACAATAATAAATAATAATGAAGATGTTTAAAGTGCAAATTAAAAACAGAAAAAAAGAAATGGCGAAAGTTGTTAATGGATTTCTTTCCCGCCCAAAGGCAACATTGGCCGTTCCACTTACTGTAAATTTTTCTAAACTCCATTATCTTTCTGAGCATCGAAATCGTCTTTAGCGTTGTTATGTTTTAAAAAGTTTTGCATTCGACTTCATTTCCTTAATGGAAATCAACGCAGCATTCTGTCCGCTTATGACAATGAGCACAATTTATTATCACAATTATTATCGAAATCGCTTGGAGTAATCATTAATGTGGCACAAAAATGCTTTAAGTGGGGTCCTACATTTATTCGGTTATTATCTGATCTGCAAAGTACAAGTTGTTTGAACTGGAATTCATAAACTGTTTTATTCCGATTTGATTGGGAATAGATGAGGAGACATTTTCTGGCCGATGGCACTTGAGGATTTTCTGTTCTGTGTGTTTTTTTCTTTTCTTTTTTTTGTCTTTTTTGGTTTAACCATTTTTCTACGTCTTTACCTTCTTTCTTTCTTTCTTTCTTTCTTTCTTAGAGACATTTTCGCTGGGCTAATAGTTCCTTTCTAATACATGTTTAATTTAAATTGACTGATGAGATAATTCTTTTTTGGATATCTCTTGTTCGCACGCAAACAAAATATAATAAAAAAAATAAATATCTTGTCATATATATAATATATATATATATATATATATATATATATATATATATATATATATATATATATATATATATATATATATATATATCTGTAGTAGAATTGGTCGATATATTCTTTGATCCCAGGACGTTGTTTCTCTGATTGAAAAAAAAAAAAAGAACGCTGGTTCGATTCCTGTTGGATTTTCTTTTTCTTTAGTAGGACTTCTCAGTCTAAGCCAGTTGTTATTAGTTTTACTGTTAAATAAAATTAAACAAAAAAAAAATCGGGATAGGAAATCAAACATTTTTACTCACGAAAAATAACATTTATAGTAATACGATATATATATATATATATATATATATATATATATATATATATATATATATACCGGGTGTAACAGCAAAATTGTTTAAATCGTGTAACAGCATTGTCCATCCCACAAAATGTTTAATATCTAAAAATCCACAAAACTAATTGTATTTCTTTTTTGCAGGTTTTCGGACAAGATGTTTAGTCATCGTGATACCATTTGTCGTAAGAATCACTGAAAAAGCCATTGGGCTATTCAGCTAGAAAGAGAACAGTTTAAAATCATTTTGTTCCAGCCCCGCTATGTCTTACCAACTGAGAGGAAAAGATCATTAAGGCCTTCAGTAATGGTACCAACATTCATACTGTGGCTTCCATTTTCAAAGTCCATTCAAGAACCATCAAGGGAACGGTAAATAAATTTTAAAAAGAGGGAACAGTAGAGAGGTAAAACTGGATCAGGAGGTCACAACAGCAAGAGGAATCATCATTTTAACTTAGAGCTAAATACATTCTTCTTGAAATGAAAACAAGTAAAATAAATTAACCCAAATAAATAAACAAGACACTCCCGCCAAAATAACCGCCAGAATGGATTACTCACAATGCACCAGTGACCAATATATATAAATAGTCGAGATAAAATCCAACACTCACGGCCTGACGATTGCGTTTATCATGACACAGTCTGTCGCCTCTGAGTGTTGACTTCAATGTTCAGCTTTCTATTTATATTCACATACGCTCTATCTCTGATATTGAGCACCTTATCCCATAAATATAACACGCCATAAAACTATATTTCTTCATATATATATTTATATATACATATATATTAAACGTTACTGCGGAGGGTCGTTTGGGGACCTTGTGGCACGTAGTGCACCAGATCTCTGTATTTGGCCCTTCAAAAAGTGTGGTTGGTTCTGCACAAAGCCTTCACCACTATAATCAAATCATATATGCTGGTGTTTGGCATGTCGGTTCCGAGGAACTGAGCTGTTTGACCCTCATACGTCGAATCGAATACGACGGGAGAGTCCACTATATATATATATATATATATATATGTGTGTGTGTGTGTGTGTGTGTGCGTGTGTGTGTGTGTGTGTGTGTGAATAGTTTATCTTTTTCTGCTTTATCTTTATGCTATTTCTTCATCTCTTTTTCTTTATCGTTATCTTGATACGGAAATTCTTTTTTTCTTTCTTATGTAAATCCCCCCCTTGTCCTTCTCTGTCAGGCTCTCTTTTGCTTTCCCTCACCCCCGCTTTGTTCGCACCTATGTCTTTATATCACTATACTCTCCCTGCGTTTCCCCACCACCTCCGCATGCCTTGACTTTTATTCTTTTTTTCGATGTTATAAATCCGGCCGCTACCGAAGGATCTCCCTTTACCTATCGAGTAGCGATAAGAGAATTCATAAAGAACAGAAAAAAGGTAAAAAAAAAAAAAAGGTCTTAAGTGATGCGCCAACGAAAGGGAAACACATTCTGTACACCTCAAAAGTAAACCTGTTCATGTACTGTCAGAAAGATCAGGCCTTCATGGTTTTTCTAATGTAGATAATCGTCCCAGTCAACCGAATGATTATCATTTAGTAGAAGAAGAAGAAGAAGAAGAAGAAGAAGAAGAAGAAGAAGAAGATTCAGTGTGAGATTAACATTGTTTCACAGAGAATAGGTACAAGGATCAGAAATTACGCACTTGATAAGCAGATAAAATTTGATGTGCTTGAGTTATGCTCCCAAAAATCAAATATTAGACAAAGCATCCATTTTCGTCAGTCATGTGCCATGCGTGATACACGGTTACGCGATCATGTATCTTTCGGTATATGACTGACGAGGCAGAGTTTTTACCCGTAGTAGGTAACCATTTCTTTCTGCGGTAGACCAGTTGTCATCCAAGGCTACAGAACATGGTCCGTCCTGCTAACTACCCATAGCTGGGAGAAGAAGAGGATTCATACCTTTTCCAAGCGTATTAGCACGTAAATAAATGTAATGGATTCGACTGTAATTCGAACTCGGCTCTCCGATTCCTCAATCCGAGCCGCTATCCATTACTACACCGTTCCTCCCATCCATTTTCGTACCCCTCGAAAATGACCATCCACAATATTTTATATTCCATAGCCTTCTGTCTTTTCTATAAATATTTTCATGGCATCTGCTTTGACGAGCTATTTTCACTGGTGCCCTGACTCCATAAATTTAAGCATGCTACTAGGTTGGCATCTCGGCCCCACCCTTTTACTGTCGAAACAGTTAAATGCAACCGCCTCTTCTACTCCAAGGGTTTCTTCTCTCGCACTTCCCGACAGTGGAACTCCCTTCCTCTTGCTTGTTTAGCTTATAGCTATAATCCCCAAAAGTTTGAATGTAATGTCAATCGACATCTTCTAATGCCTTGATAACCGTTCTTCTTTTTATCCTTCTCCGTTCTTCTTTTAATCCTTTTCTTAATCCCCCTATATCCAGTCTTTTCCCTTACTTTCACTCTCTGTAGCCCCTTGCGTACTAGTGGCATTCTCGCCTTGCTTGGGGAAATGTTTAATATATATATATATATATATATATATATATATATATATATATATATATATTTAAAATATGATTCCAACTCGCGACATAAGAGGTCTCATGTTTCAAAAATAAGAGCCAAAACTTCAATATAATTATTTGAATTAAATATTATATTGAAGTTTTCGGCTCTTGTTTTGAAACATGAGACCTCTTACGTCGCGAGTTGAAATCATATTTTAAATAAATAATTATATTGATGTTCTACTTTTGTATCGAGCACTATTTTTTTTTAAAATAATAACTAAAATACTAAGGAACTTTGGATTATTTACCTAACAAGTTCTTTCCTATTTTCTATATATTTTCACACACACACACACACACACACACACACACACACACACACACATATATATATATATATATATATATCTTACTTATTATGAAACGCAGATTGTGTGTGTGTGTGTGTCTGTCTGTTCGTTTTTATGTTGGATCGAATTTCCTACATTTTTCAACCGATTTCAACAAAACTTCACAGGACTACGTAAAATTACCTTGCGGTGGTTCTGACAGCGGCAAAATTTGGAAAAGCACAATTGTTTTTGCACGAAATCAATTTGAAAACACGATTAAGAGGCATCGCGAGAATGAAAGTGGGACAACTCATATCGAGATATACTTATTATAAAACCCAGGTTGTGTGTGTGTGTTCGTTTATATATGGGATCG